AATAGGACAAGAGGAAATGGTCTCAAGTTGCTCCAGGAGAAGTTAGATTGGACATTAGGAAGAAATTCTTTATCGAAAGAGTAGTCAAACATTGGAACAGGCTGCCCAGGGAAGTGGTGGAGTCATCATCCCTGGAAGTGTTCAGAAAATGTGTTGATGTAGTGCTTCTAGACATGGTTTGGCGGGCATGGTGATATGAGGTAGACGGTTGGACTGGATAAACACGGCTGGGGAAAATATGGGCCCACTGTATAATGGGGTGGGGACCTGGCGCCCCGGGGTGTGGAAAAGGGCTGAGGTACTGCAAGCCTTATTCACCTCAGCCTTAGGAGCAAGACCAGCCTTCAGTAATTGCAGGTCCCAGAGTCCAGGCGTGTCCTGGATTTGGCTAGGATAATGCTTTTGTCTAGGATAATGTTAATTTTCACAAGAATCTGGGAGGGGGTACAGTCAGGACAGCCGAACCTAACTAGCCAAGGGCATATCCAATACCATACAGTGCCATGTTCAGTATATAAGGGGGGAACAACTGGGGGAGCGCACGCAGTTCAGGAAGGCTCTGGGCATCAGGGTTTGGGTGGTGAGCCTTTGCATTGTGCATCCCTCAGCTTATCTATTATTTCATTAGTATTATGGTTACTACTGTTGTTTCTTCTCTCCATGTGTTGTTCTATTAACCTGTCCTTATCTCGGCCCCCGAGGTTTTACCTTTTTTCTTCCAATTCTCCTCCCTATCCCACTGAGAGGGGGGGCAGGCGTGAGCTAGCACCTACATGGTGTCTTGTTTCTGACGGGGCCTAAATCACAACAAGGGTGAAAGGCTGGAGCAAGTAACATGTACCCTTCCACAGTCCATATCACTTATCTAGTCCATAATAAGTAGCTTTGTCTACAATGTTTCCAGGAAGCCAGTGCTGAAAGCACAACTAAATTCAGAAAGCACAACATCCACTCTAACCACCAAGACCAATTGTCTTATTGTAGAAGGCTTTAAATTTGATTAAAGATTATTTCCACTTCACAAAACCATGCTGACTGTCAGTGGGAAAGGAGGGGGAGGAGGTGCTCCATCCAGGTACTGGAGCAGTGGTTTTCCTGCAGCCTGTGGTGAAGAACATGGCAACACAGGTTGTTCCCTTGCAGCCCATGGCGGTTCATGGTGGAGCAGATATCCAACCTGCAGCCCTTGGAGGACTCCAAGATGGAGCAAGAGAGTGTGCCCTGAAGGAAGCTGTGACCCTGTGGAGAGCTCATGCTGGAGCAGGTTCCTGTCAGGAATGGCAGGCCTGTGGAGAGGAGCCCACACAGGAGCAGATTTTCTAGCAGGACCTGTGCCCCACAGGGGAGACACGCTGGAGCAGTCCGTTCCTGGAGGACTGCACCCCATGGAATGGACCCATGCTGGAGGGGTTTGTGAAGAACTGCAGCTCACGGAAGGACCCACATTGCAGAAGTTCATGGAGAACTGTCTCCCATGAGTGGGACTCACCACTGGAGGAGGTGTGAAGAACATGAGAAGGAAGGAGCAGCAGAGAAAGCATGTTATGAACTGGCTGCAAGCCCCATTCCCCATCCCCATGCACTGCTTGGGGGGAGGACGTAGAGAAGTTGGGAGTGACATTGAGGCCAGGAAAAAGGGAGAGGTGGGGGAAGGTGGTTTAGATTTGTTCTTGTTTCTCATTATCCTACTCTGAATTGATTGGCAATAAATTAAATTAATTTTCCCAAGTCAACTCTATTTGGCCTGTATGGTAATTGCTGGGTCATCTCACTGTCCTTATCTTGACCCATGAGCCTTTCCTTGTATTTTTTCTCCCTGTGCAGTTGAGGAGAGAGACTGATAGACTGGCTTGCAGAGCACCTGGTGGTCAGCCAAGGTCAACCCAGCACGCCTTGTCTGCTGCTTCTTCCTGAATCACCTGATATGTAGCAGCCACCCACCACACTGTCATCGGTGCTGCTCTGTCTTTCCTGAACAGGCTGGCTCCATCCACTGCAGTGCTCCTATAAGCTACTGCAGGGCATCCCGGTGATCCTGTAGATCTACAGCCAAGCCACGGTGGAAAAACAGGGCTATGTTGGACAGGAACCTGGGCCATGTGGACTAACCTGCACTTCACCATACAGCCTCTCAAGTTCCCAGAATACATCCTCCTGCATCGTAAATGGCACCAGCCCTTCAAGCACACTTCCTTTCACTGCAAGCAGATCAAAGCTCTGCTTCCCTGCACCTGCCATTGTGTGATACAAACCTCGGGTTAGCAGCTGCTAGAAAGGAGTGATAGAAATCTGTATTCTCTATCAGATGTTTTTTGTTCCACTCTGCTGCAGAGATGCTATACAGTGAGGTCTGCACCACAGTAATACACTGCTTCATCCCCTGGCTTTGCTGCCTGGATCTGCAGTGTGAATCTGTTCTGGGAGCTCTCCACTGTTCCCTTAAAGCCATCCTCGAAACCTTCTCCATAGGTATCACCTTCCCAGTAAATCCAGTCCAGAGTGCCACGCAGACCCTGCCGGTACCAGGACATGAAGTAGCTGCTCATTCTGTCTCCACTCATGCTGCACTGGAAGGTGACTCCATCACCGTCTCGCACGGCCAGTTCCCCAATGTGTTGCTCCAAGGACACCTGGGCAGTGACTGCTGCAGTGAGGAAGAACAAGCCGTGATCACCCCAAGATTCAGTAAAGGTCAGGGCAACGCTGGTGCGATGGCACTGGACCTGTGGGAAGACTAAATCATTCTCTTTGATCCCGACTGAGGATTAGAGCTTGTAACCAGGAATCAGGGCTCACGAGGAAGGAGACACCGCATTTCCCTCCCGCCTTTTCCCTGACAGACAGAAACCTTTTTTATGATTTTCCCATTCAAAGCAGGAAGGTTTTACACCACGAGGGACAAATCCCTTTGCCTTTGCCAAGCTGGGATGCTGAGGAACCCACTTTCCTCGCCCTGAAACTGCTCTGAATGTGCACACAGCAGAGACAAGGACCTCTCACAGGCAAATGAGTCTTGGGCCCCCTGCTGCCATCCTCTACCTGCTCTTTGCAAGATGGGTTGCAGTGCCCCACAAGCAGTGTGGAGTCCAAGTGCAAAGCATTAGGCCCCAAGATGTGAGTGGAGCAGGGAGGTGCCCTGCCTGTCCCCACACTGCAGAGCAGCCAGGCTGGACAGAGGTGCCTAACTCACGGCTAGAAGAGGAGGAAGGCTGTTCACCTGTGCTCTGCACAGATGGGGGGGAAGTTCAAGCTGGGGCACAGGTCAGGCTGCAAGGAGCCAGTACAGCTCCACAGAGCCGTGCAGAACACAGGGGCATGCACAGTTCCTGGGAGATATCATCCCTTCCTTTCACTTACCTATGACAGGCAATAACCCCACGCACATGGCAGTCCACATGGCCAGGCCAGCCCTCTCTTGCCTCTCCCCAGCTTCTCTCCGCCTACAGAACAGCTCTGCCCACACCTTCCCTGTCTGTGCCTCTGTCACTGCAGTCAGTCCTATTCCCTGTTAGTCCCGCCCTTGGTCTATGATAACAGTGAAGGTGAGAGGTGGAGCTGCAGGAGCAGAAGTTGTTGAAGCTGTTGGTGCACTCCCGGGTGTTTCTCACCCTGCAGGGTGTTATGACAGAGCACTCGCCTGGCAGGAAAACCTCTGGTTGGCAAAAGGTGGATGTTGCTCTAGAGCCACCTTCAACCTTCTTCTGAGGAAGCTTGCAAGGAGCAAGGAGCTGCTGGGACATTGGAGCTGGCCCTGGGGCAAGGCAGCTTTTCATCCCAGTGGATCCAAGTACCTTGCTGCTCCTGCTGATTCTCCCACA